AAAAGGTGGGCCCGGCCCGGCGCTGCATGTGTGTGAGAGTGACTCAACGGTGAGGTATGTACGCTGCTCTACGCTCTCAGCCTCTCTTCTGAAGAATCTGAGAGGCTGCGACTGAGATTGGGATACGAATTTGGAGCCCAAGGGGAGCAGACAGATCATAAAAAAGAGCACGAGAGCCTCGGAGCAACAAAGAGAGTCAAGCCCCAATACCTAGACAGGGATCAGATGCGCTCTCTGCCAAGAGAGTGAGAGAGCGAGCCTGTTATGGGGGAGTAGGACAGGTAGGAAAACACACACCTGAGCTAGGCCAACAAATAAATAATTAGCCAGATAAAAATCTGAATTATTATTTCGGACTTTAAGCCACAAAAGAAATTGCATACCATTTCTATGAAATTGCCATGAACTTTCCAACTATCTAGAGATCTATGTATGTGTGTGTGTGTCCCCCAATAACTGGTCAATAACTGTCCATTGGTGATTGCCGACATGACAATCTGATAGATTTCCTCTGGTTGCCAAGCTATATAGCATTTCCGTTTTCCGAGGAGCATGGGGGCATGGGGCATGCAACAGCAGGCAGGCAGGCAGTCAGGCATTCGCCACTTGCTATTGGGTCAGCAGTTAAAAAAAACTGGATAAAGTAATTTTCTAATCGGGAAATCAGGGGATAGACTAGTAACTAGACTGGGAATGATTGTGAAAGATAATTAATTTTTATTAAAGAAATATTTTAAAGAAATAATGAGAGTCAAGCTTACAAAAGTAAGTTTATAAACAAATATATTTAAGAAAGTTTTCTTTTAGGAATATTTAAACGATCTCATTATAATTTTTCCTTTTTTTAAGAAAAATATTTTTAAAAACTTGAAAATCCTCAATACTGAGTGAAGTTTCTCGAAGTTCAATCCCTAAGCTCGAGTTCGAAACTGACCTGAGGCAGAAAAATTATTTTTTCCCACAGAATATTTTTAAAAATTTTAGAAATTATCATTAATGAGGCATGAGTTAATGCGCTTTTTTGAAATATTGAATTTTTCAAAACTAACCTATCAAACCATTTTGTTTTTTTACCAAATATTTTTAAAAAATTTGGAAATCCATAATACTGAACCCATAAGTAATAGATTTTTTGTGGGGATATTTCATCATAATGTATCCCCAGATTTCGTAGAAACGTCAGGAACCCTCTCCCAGTATTCAGTATCTTTGTCGTTTGTTTTCGTTGCTCATTCGCTGCCTGAGCCGATCCCACAAAAAGGCTCAGGCTAATGAGAGTGTGTGGAAAACCGAAAAGGAGAGGGAGGTGAGGTGGTTAGGGGGAGCGGATGAGGGACAAGGGCCAACAGGTAAAATGAAGAAGGTAAGACGGAGATTCAAACAAACACACACAGATACTCGAACACGCAAACACACACAAAACGAAAGCAAAACAAAAACAAGAGGCAAACAAAACGTTGACGTTGATTGCTTGGCTTACCTGCGAAGAGAGTGGACAGCGACGAGAGGGTGAGGAAAAAGGTACAAGGAGAAGAGGTGAAGAAGAGCCGAGGAGAGCGAAGAGCGAGCTAGCAAAGCATCCTCCAAAGATACAAAGATACAATCAACATTGAGGCACACACTTGAGCTCGTTTATGTTTGTGTGAGCCTGTGGGGCATATATGTATGCCGCCCCTCCATCCTCAGCCCTCCGCCCCCTGCCTCTTAGCCCTCTTCCTCTACCCTTTCGGCCCAGATGCCCAGAGTTATTATAACGGATTTATCTCAAGTTACAAGCAGCACACACACACACATACACTCGACATACATGGCAACACAAATATGAATTTTATTCCATACCCTGGCAGTTTGTTCTTTTAACATTTTTATGCGATTTACTTTTTAGTTTCTTGCTCTACAAATAACTCGCAGCATATCCCTCCCCCTTACAGTACATCCTCCTTAAATGGAACCTTGAACAATAGTTCCCTATAGTTTTTTTTGAGTGATGGGTTATGAGGGCGTTTTTATTTTTGTTGCCAAGGCTGCCTCTTGCCTCTTAACGACAGGAAATTAATGATTTAATTACATTTTTGGGCCAGGTCCAAACGAGCAAGAGAGATGACTATAGGCGAGGAGAGCAAGTGGGAAGATGGCTGGCAAGGAAGGGTAGGATTAGTTAATGGCGGCACCTTTAATTGATTTTCCTCCGAGAGAGCTCCCATGGGAAAGTGACCAGCTTGCTTGGGAATGCCATCACTCCATCTCTTTCTCTAATCTCCACAAAGTCAAGAGTCGTCCTACCTCAATGTACACCATCGTCATCATCATCAGCCAAGCAAGTCACCAAGCACACAAAGTACAGAAATCGAAAATACCAACAAGCGACAACAAAAAGGCAAAAAATGCTGCGCATGCGCGTGCCGAGAATTTTTTTGTAGACCCCAAACAGAGCCCCGCGATCTCCTCGCATTAAGCGGTTCTCCAAGTCTCAAGACCCCAAGAAACAGAAATGGCAAAAAAACACTTGAAAAAATCTACAAGGATTTTTAATAATTATTTAGTTATTTTTAAGATTTTATAAAGATTTTTTTTCAAAGAAAACTTAAGAACTCTTGGAAAACACTGCAAGTGGCTTTAAGCCCTAACAGTTTCAGAGCCACTGCCTTTGTCAACTTGAACTTCTATTTGAATGTCTTGTTAATGGCTCTTGTTTCTAGTTATTTAATCCATTTAAATCTAGTGCATATGGCCTTTTTTTATATCCATATTCTCTGATTAAAAAAAAAAAAAACAATAAGAGAAAGAGAAATGTCATCGGGCCTTGATTGTTGTCAGTCGATGAGTCGATGTCGAGATGTCAATGCCAATGCTCGAGATGAGCAAGATGAAGAGACGTTAGCCCCTCCAAAACCCACACAGACACACATATATAGAGGGGAAACTGGGATATAGGTTATATATACTGTAGAATATCGGAGGGAGGGCTTCACATCGGCGTGACAGTTTGGCAGGAAGCACAAATGCACAACTCGTAGATAATGCACATCAAGTGCAATATCAAGTGTCGTTACCAGAGGCTTAAACAAAAAGGGGGCACTCTACTTACAGGAAAATAATTTTAAACTTGAAATATATAGTTTTTCAAAGTTTCAGATTAATTTAATGAAAATTAATAGCTTTCTTTTTTAGAAAAGAAAACATATCTTTGAAAACTAAGACCCTAATTACCTTTTAATATTATATTTCATATATTTATCTCTCAGGACCCCCTTTATTGGCACGCCCCTGACCATCATCATCATCATCATCATCAGCGTTTGTGGCCTGTCACTGTCTGCAACTGATTAGTCAGCAGGTTTTCAATTGCGGCTGACAAACTAAAAGCGAACGATGGCCCGAAACGGGACAGGAGCCATGATAGACCGAGATGGCAATGTACATATACATAGATAGAGACAGAGACCGATTGGCACTAAGCGAAAGAGACAGAGACACTGACCTGACCGCAAACTGACCCGCAAAAGTGCGACCCCAAAACGTCGAGCCCTAATTGCTAGCCAATCAATTGCCTCACAACTGTGCCATTGACTCTAAAACTGTGCCGTCAGTCGTGAAAGCAAAAGGATGCAGGAAAGAAAAAAAAAGGAGGAAAAATCGATTAAAAATGTATAAATATTCATCGCCGGGCGAGGAAAATAACTCGTTAATTAATAATGAGCATAAAATGAAAGCGCACGTGCTTAAATGGGGCGCCAGGACGCGGAGGAGCAGGCGTTTCAGGAAGGGGGGCGGTTGGGTGCTCTGTGAGTATATGTGGAGAGCCAAAGGGGGAGGCAAGGTGGTCTGGCAAGGATGCTGGGTGACTTTCGCGTATACAGTTTATGACACTTCCATAACACTTGTGTCCGGTTTTTAAGAATTTTTAAGAGATATTTTTATGAAAAGTTGTAGTCCTTTTGAAAGGTTTTTTTAGAGAATTTAAAAATATACTTTAGACTCTTTAGTTTAATGTAAAAAAAAAAATCAATTAAAAATTACTACTTTCAAAACTATTTTGAAACTCTTTTGGAAAACATTTCTCCCACCACTTGTGGTTTTGAAAAAAATATCCCAAACTGTAAATAGTTTATTTATATTAACTTAAAAATGTCCACAATTTAAAGAATGTTCTTTAAAAAAAACATTTAATTTAATAATAAAATAGCAAATAGTGTGTGCTATTTTGTTGGCTTGCGGTGTGGGTGGGCGTGTTGCATAGTTTTGCCGCTAAAATCACAACAGGTTCGTTTGCCAAGCAAGGACGAAGGCGAAAACTAGCAAAAGGGGTGGCCCGTGAGGGGGTGGGGAGGCAGAGGGGTGGTCTTAATAGTGAGAGAGCGCTGGGGAAAAATGTGTGAAAAATGTCAGCGATGGCCAGGGGCGTAGAGCAAGGGGAAACACTACCAGTTACCAGTTACCAGTTACCAACAGCCAGCAGCCAAGAGCTGAGAGCTGCAAGCTATCCAGCCAGCTGGAAAACCCAGCGAACAGAGCCAGTAAATAAATAACCAGTCATAAAAACAGTCAGTGTGTGGGTGTATTACACACACACATATATATAAGCTAGCGTGTGCGTGTGAGAGAGCTTGAAAACCACATGTTTTACGGGTATTTCCACGGCGTGCAAAATTCCATTCAAGCCGGAGGGTGTATAGCACCAAAAAAAAATTCTACAGTGAGCCAGTGGTAATATTTGCTTCATAAAATGCAACAACAACAACAAACAAAATAGAAACAAATAAAGTAATAAAAAAATATTTTCAAAGAAAAGAAAATTAAAACAAAATCGCTGCACTGACAGTTTGAGAGAGATTGAGGGTCATTGGTAGAAATGCGCCTAGCGGTTAGGCAACACTTTTTTCCTAGCAGGCAGAGGATCACTTAGCCGGGACACTATATCTTTAAAACCTCTTTAAAGTTTTTGTTTTTTAACTTAGTTATTTAAAATTAAGTTAATAAATATTTAAAAAAAAACTCACCCTCTAGCGTCGGGCCGCAAACTTTGATCTCCCAATAAAAGTTCAGTTCTTCCTATTGATATGCTACTTGTGGGACTGTTTGGTTGCTGCTGCTGTTGTTGCTGTTGCAATTGCAATTGTTGTTGCAGTTGCTGCTGTTGCAACTCGTAGTTGGCACTTAGCAGCTGTTGTTGTTGTTGCTGCTGCTGGGATCTGGCGTTGCTGCCACTGCTGGCTGTTGCTGTTGCACTCGCGTTGTAGGCATGCACATCACTGGCCTGATGGACTATGACATCGTCTAGTAACTGGGGATTAAGAAAAATAAGGTTTTTTAATAGGTTTCATACTTATAAATTAAAGAATAAAATTATAAAAATTATTAAAACATTTTTAAAACATTTAAAAAGATGAAAAATAGTTGAACAGATATTTCCACAAACCTAAAATATTAAATAAGAATCATCTTAAAAAAAATACAATAAAATATATTTTAAAGACCTCTTAAAAAAATAAAGAAATTATTTTTTAATAAAATATTTATAATATTTATAATTTATATAAACAAGATACACTTTGCGGCCTTTTTTGTAGAAGAAACTAAAACACCACCAACAAGTCACAGAAAAGTGAAATAATCTCTAAAAAAAAATATATATAAAATTATAAAACTTTACAATAAATATTTTCTTAAATCATTTTTTTTTTTATAAAAAATACCTCTCTTCTCTGCGAATATAGATTATTCGATATTAGTAGATCACAATTCTTCATGAGAGACGCCGTCTGGGCTGCTGCTGTTGAATTATTGCTATTATTGTTGTTGCTTAAAAGTAAGTGTTGTTGTTGTTGCTGCTGTTGCATGGAATTATTGTTGCTGGAATGTAGCTGCAACTCAGCAAATGCCTGCTTCAACTGACCACTGGATATGGCCGTGGAGTACTCCGTTTTGGGTGTGGTGGTGCCATGGACATGCCTCGTTTGCGGTTCTATTTTCGGTTCAATCCCCGCCAGCAGGGGCGAGGTCGAGGTCTGGGCATCCACAAAGCTGGGATTCGGTGGGCCGCCGAGTTGCAATGGTGCCGGCACCCCCGGACGATGCAACGACTGCTGTGGCGGATGTTGCTGCTGGTGCTGGTGCTGTTGCCGTTGCTGGTGGATGGCGGCCGTTGTTGCCAATGTGGCAGCTGCTGCCGGCAGGGCGGTTGTGGCCGGCAGCGTTGTTGTCGGCAGCTGGGCGTGTTTGTTGTTGTAGTTGATGTAGGTGATGCCACAGTAGTTGGCCCCATCCACGTCATCATCGTCGTCGAGGTCCTCGTTGTCCACCTCCTCGGCCAAGTGTTGCAGGCTGCTGGCCAGCAAGGACTTGGCCTGCAGAGGCTTTCCGGCGGCGGCCGCTGCTGCCAGTTGCTGTTGCAGTTGTTGCAACTGTTGCTGTTGCGCCTGGCTGGTCTGGTATATCTGCCCAGTGGCACTGGTGCTGCCCCCACTCGTGTTGCCTGTCGCACTGCCACCGCTGCTGCTGCCTGGGCCGCTTAATCCTCCGCTCTTCAGGGCCGCCGATGTCGTATTGTTGGCATTCCGATCGGCTGCCGTGGCAGCTGCCACAGCGGCACTCACCAAAGCCGAGGCACCTTGCACCGCCGCTGCTGCTGCTGCCGCTGCCGCCGCCGCCTGATGTTGCTGCTGCAGTGGCTCCACCTGGGCCTGAACCTGCACCACCGACCCACCCGCCGCTATCGACGGCACTGTCCCGGTGGCCGTGGTGGGGGCTAGTGCCAGGGATGGGGCACTTATCGGCCCGCCGGCGGTGGCTGTCGTCATGGTGGAGCTGCTGCAGGTTATCTGGTTGCTGGTGAATGACGTCACATAGATGGGTGTCGACTCGTTGAGGAAGCTCAGATCCTGCCGCTGGCTGGTGACCGTGCCGCTTTTCGTTTGTTGCAACTGCAATCCAATCAGAGAACCAAACAACAACACAACCAATGAATCAAAAATAATGATTACATATCGGTTATGGGAGGAGGCTTTCTAACCACTCATGCTAGTACTGGTTCTATTGATAGAAATGGGCCTCAACTAGCTGGGGTGTTGATAAGAAACAGAATTTGGGTCTTTTCTTTATCTGGAAAGTGACGGGCAAGTATGCTGTCTCGAAATTCCTCAATTTTAGGGGTTTTCTTTAAAGGGAGTACCTAAGGGGAGGCCTTAGGCTTAGACTAGGGAGTATCTTTGATATAGAATATTGGTATAGATTAAAAGAAATCATATCTTTCATCATGACAATGATATTTCAAATGTATTTCTTTATCTAAAAAGTGATAAAGAAGTATTCTGTCTAGAAGTTCTAAAACTATTGTAAGGTTTGGTTTTTAAAGGAGTTCTTCCAAAGGTGGTTCTAAGGAAAGTACTAGATAGATTAAAGATACGACTTTAATAATAGTCTAAAAAGTAATTATATCGTTCATCATATCAGTCGTATTTCTTTATCTTGAAAGTGATAGGAGGCTTGGGAAACTAGGGAGTGTATAGATACTCCTTATATAGGAGTGTATAGATGAACCTTTAATTTAATAATACTCTATAAAGATTCATATTGTTCATCATAGTAATGATGGTTTTTAAAGGAGTTCTTTAATGACGGTTCTTAATGGGGTATTAGAGGGATCTTTCGTCATATAAAAAATATTTCTTTATCTAAAAAGTGATGGAGAAGTAGTCTGACTAGAAGTTCCAAAACTATCATACATTTTTAATAGAGTTCTTAAAAGTAAGTTCTTAAGGAGATACTAGAGAGATCGATGGGGAAGATCGATTACCTATAAGTACCAATACTATTAAGTGGTTTAGATCTTAAAGGGGGTTCTGAAAAGAGTTCCTAAAGGACTAAGACTAAGACCACAAAGTGTCATCCATATTTTCCATAAATCCCCTTTATAAACCCACCAAATATTTTCCATTCACTCTTTTTTTATCAGCAATCACTGATAATAAAACTCCACCCCCTAATAATGATTATCATCATTAATAGCCACCAACAAACAATAAAAGAAAAAACCCTTTAATAGCCAGGGTTTAATTTAAATGATTATCTTTCTATCCACAACCACTATTCCACAACTATTAACAACAAGAGCTGGCAAACTTTAGGCAAACAAAGGTCTTCATATAACGCCGTTGACAGGCTTCATTCGGGATATATGTGTGTATAGTATGTATATATAGAGTACAGTACATATGCAAATCAATCAAATTCCATTAAAAATAAAGCTAACCAAGCCAAGTCCCCATTATCCCCTCCTCCCGTATTGATGCTGTTCCCCTAATGAAATATGAATTATTAATGCGACGACACATAATGGATGTGGCACACACACATGGGGGTGGGTGTGTGTGTGTGTGTAGGTGTGTGGGTGTGTCGTCTGCGTCTGGGATCCCGAAAATCGAACAACGAACAAAAGACAAGCGACTAAAATCCGAAAATGCCACACCTTTAAGCCTGTTCTGCCACCCACACACACGCATCCAGTCAATGTCAAACTGTTCTGGCCAATTAAGATGAACCTTATAAGCCTCTTTCTACAGCCAATCCAATTTAGCCTTAACCTTCAACAAAATAATATCAAAAAAAAAATGAACAAGTCGAATTATAAAGCTTTTTTTGATTTTTTTTTTAAATGCAATTACATGAGGATGAGTTGGCTAGATTATGGCTAAAAAATGGTGGCAATTGTATTAGCTAGAGGTGGCTAGAGGGGGCTGGCGGGGCATGTGTCATCTATAGGTAAGGGATTCCCGTACTTAACGCTGGGTGCACATTTCCACTTAAGCGTTCAATTGCTTCGATTTTCCGAGAGCTTCTCTGGCGCTACTTTTCTCTGTTTTTTCACCTTCCTATAAAAAACCAAAAATAACAAAAACAACACCCACAAAAAAATAACCACCCACTTTAGCCATAAGCGTTTTTTTTCGCTTAAATTTTTTTTTTTTTTTTTTTTATCGGATTATTGACAGCCAAGTCGGTTTGTCAGTCTACCGCATCGGCTTGTGGATTCTCTCGATTCTCGATTTTTGATTGTGGAGATTGTGAAGTGAGGGGAGAGGGGGAGAGAAGGGAGGGAGAAGCGAAGAGGTGAGGCTTCACTCGCAGCTTCACTTTTGCTTCCTGCCACAGCAGGACCACCCCTACTTCAGTGCCACCTGGCCCCCCAACAATAACCTCCTACGCACTTTAACACTTATCGGATATATCGTTGCATATTTTCACTGAGAACTAAGATTGAGGGCATTGTCTGTAGATTTTTACTATTAAAAAAAATAATATTTAAGATGTTAAATACATATTTAATAAAATATATAAACTAAAAGCTAGTTTAATAAGCTCTCTACTTTGTTTAAAGTTTTTTTTTTTATAAAAAACCATATATTCCAAGTAGATCTTAAACTTTTGGGCTGTTTAGTTGGAAAACCTTTATAAATTTACCTTTTTTTTTTTAATTTTCTACTTCTTAACAATGAAAAACTCTTAGATACAAATTTTCACCAGTATTTGGTATATTTTGTAATGCCATTTTCACCTCTCTGGTACCCAGACTCAGACTCAGACCCAGGTCTGTATGCATATTCCATCATTTGTTTGTGTTTGTAAAATCATTTGTTCGGTTGGCCTGGCAACAAACGATTGACTCACTGACGCACTTCCCCTCGTTCCACTGCCCCTTGCCCCTACCCCTATGCCATGCCCCTATCCCCACTTGCAACGCCACTCTAGCGCATCCTAGACAAAGCCTCAATAGCCCCTCACCTACACCAATGTATGCCCCTGGTTTCCCAGATTCCGGCCAGGGTTCGGGAGTAACCCAACCCAAACCGAACCGAGCCCAAAACCAACCCAGATCCCCACCTGACCTCCACCTCGCATCTGCCCACCTACCCAGCTACCCATCTGCCCGTCGAGCTAAAAGCAATTGTTGGAGCGTTCAACTGTGATGACGATGATGACAAAAGCACTTGATGCGCTTAAAATCGTTAGTAGAGGGGTGTGGCAAGGGGCAGATTTCATGAGGGGGACCCTCAAGGGGGCAGGGTGAGGTGGGGGGGCAACAGTTGTTATTCGGGGCAGAACTCTCGATGCGGTTAATGCGTGAATTCCAGAATATCAGACATACAAGTCTATACTCCAATAGGGGTTCTAGTTCAACGACAAGTGCTCTTGAACTCCGGCAGAGTGACCAGATTGGATTTAAAACTCAAGGGCTATTAATTAATTAAACCACTTAAATTTGAATAATTTTTAGAGAATTTTTAAAAGTATTATATTTAAGAAAAATTGGTATTCAAGCAAAGGAGGGTGTAGTTCTTAATTGAGATTCCTTTTCAACAAGCTTTGGCTAGTATTTGGCTTAATAAAAAATGTATATTAAAATTAAGACAATAAAAATATTAACATAAAATTAAATATTTAATAAATAATTAACTAAAAAAACTTTCTAAGTTCTTAGTTAGTATTAAAACATGATTTTTTAACTAAAATGAGTTATTTCCTTTAAGGCTTTGGTATTCAAACATTATAAAACATTTTAAGAACAAAAACACGTCTTTAAATTCTTAAAAAATTCAATAAAAAATACCAAGTGAGTGAGAAAGACTTCTAGATAGAAAGAGAACCAAAAAAGACTCTTTTTATATAAAAAATAAAAGAATCAAAAGCCCAAAAACCCCCTCCAAGCAATCAAAAATCAATAACCTCAATAAAAAAAACCATAAAAAACCAGAACCTTAACAGATAAACATGTAAATGAGTTTATTATTTAATACTAAACAATTAATGACTAAAAAAATGTACATATATACAATAAATAACCGACTTTCTGAAATGCAAACTAAATCAAATGAAACAAAAAGTGAATACATGCGTACATGTAATCGCTGTAATTTGCATTCAAATTTCATTCAGAGCTCGATCTTTTGTGTTTCAACTGTAAACGCAACGAGACGTTGAATACGCAACTTGAATGCCTAATGAATTTATTCACAAAAACAACAACAAAAAAACAAAAAACCAAAATAAATAAATACCTAAAACCTTAAAAAATAAATAAAAAGAGAAACATGACCAAAACACACATGCCGGCTTAAAAGTTGAGGAATCCCTGTATAGTACGTTATGCAACTTCCCAAAAGCGCGAATCGCATTTGATTAGTCTGGAAACTGAATACTGAATATATATAGTATATATATCCACTATAGCCCTACTGTCTCACTCGCTCATGCAAATGCCAGTGTGCAACATTCACTTTCAATTACCCACATATTTGATTTGCAGTTTTTGGCTTTTCACTTCGTGAGTGAGACTGTTTTTTTTTAATATTTTGTTGATACTCTTGACGGGAAGTTAGTTTGTGACTTTTATTTTTGAAATAAATCATCTTTTTTTAGGTTATATAGCCTTGTCCGTTTGTCCGCGTGTCCGCTAATTAGTTTTAAAGCAAGCTAGGTTCTTTAATTTTTAAGCTATTAAGCTTTAACTTAAAACATAGCTATCTTTTTTATCAACCTCAGCTTAGGAGTAAAAATAGAAAGAATCGGCTATCTATAAACTATCGATATCTTGCCTTGTCCGTTTGTCCGCGTGTCCGTTTAAATGCTTTAAAGCCAGCTAGCTCTCTTGATTTTTAAGATATTTAACTGAAATTTAAAACATAGACTTTTTATAATTTAATAAAAAAATACTATCATTCCCCAAAGAGTATCTACAACTCGCCTTTCCTCTGAAAATCTTACTTTCATTACTTGCTTTTTTTCTGTGCTTTTTTTTGCGTAACTTTTGATGTGGCTGTTGTTTTCAAGTTTAAACAACGTTTGTTGCAAGCTTTTGTCTTTTTTTTTTATTATTTTTTTTCACTTATTTGCGTTTGGTATGTTTGTATTTTTGTTTCCACTTTTAGTTTCAGTTCAGTGTCTGCTTTGTAGTGAGATTTTTCTTTATTTTTTTTCGTGTTTGGTTTGTTGAATTTTTAATTGAATTTTTGTGAATTTGTAAAGATACTAGCCATAGCCATTGTGTTTGGGGCATTGGCCAGGGGTGGGGCCTTTCGGTCAGTCAGTTATGTTACCAATACAGGAGGTGGCCTGCAACGTGTCTGATAGAAAGCTGTTTTGATAAAACATTTTCCATTTCAATTTCAGCTTCAGTTTGCTGGCAACCAAACATGGCCAGCAAATAAATAGCTGCCTCTCAGTGTGGCACATGCCCCCAGTCGCCAAAAACCAAATATTGCAACATATGTAAGTCTGGTATGGACATTGAATGAGTGAATGGACCAAATGGGTTGCAAATGTTTGCAAAATTATTGAACTTTTCAGTCAAAACGAGCAAAGGCGAATAGAGAGAAATTCTAACCAGGAATGGAATATGCCAGGACTTTCAATATGAAGGATACTTATTTCCATTTTCATTCTAGACCTCCCCCTAGTCCCCGCTGGATAGGAATGCAATGGCATTGCAATGTAATTAAGTTTTCCTTTCTGGAATTCTTGGGTTTCTTCAAAAGGAGGAGAGTTTTGTGAGTAGGGGTTTACTCACCTTCTTGGACAGCTGGGTGATGTCAACGGGGGTGACCCGGTTCAAGGCCGCCAACCGCTGCAGACGCTCCCGGGCGTGCTCCTCGACGGCGATGACGAAGGCGTCCTGCACCGAGTTTCCAATGTCCCAGGCTGAAAATAAAATAGAAGATAAATAGGTTAAAATTTTATTAAATATTTAGGGGGAAAAAAATAGAGAAAATTAGGTTTAAGTGGCTTAATTTATTATGTTTAGGTGCCAACTATGAGAATCGAGGAGGAGGGCGCATTATTTTAAGAAAATCTTTAAATTATAGGCTTGCTTCCCAAAAACACCACTGATGTCTCTCTCTCTCTAAAATTTTAATATAACTTCCATAGACATTTCCGGTTTAATTTCCACAGATTTCCAGAAAGAAAGACCCTTAAATCCCAGTCGCCTGTTCATCATCCTTTTTTTTTACGAACCCCAGAGCCCCCCAAGCCTCAGAAGCCAGAGTCCTGAGTCCTGATTCCTAAGCGAATGTCGATGACAGGATGTTTGAATATGCAGACTTTTACTTTCCAAAAAAGGGCCAAGGATGGCAAGGATGGCAAGGATTTGTTTGGTTTCTTGAGAACTCCCTGGTGGAGAGTTCATTTCGGACTCGGAATGCAGCATTCATGAGGAACAGTAAACGAATCGTTCAATACATATTCATGAGTGCACTCACATTCAGAGGCCACAAAAAAAACAAAAATTGTGAATTCTAGGAGGCATTAGGGAATCATTTATTCGCCATAAGACGGAATCTTCAATGGAATCTTCTCCGTTGAGGCCTCGGGAATCAACGAAGCGGCCAACTGTCAGCTTTCTTGGCCAACACACACACTACTACGTGTGTGTGTCCGTTGGTTAAGAGAAAGTTTTTCTAAAAATTCGTCGGCTGGTGACAGAAACGACAACATCCTTCCCCCTTTTTTTTTTTTTGGCTCACATCTCCAATGTCCTTAGTCCTCCCACTCCCACTCGGCGTTTCAACTTTTCTTGTCACTTTTATTGCTTTTCGGCTGTGCACTTCCTCCTGTGTACGCCCCCTTGGCAGTGCCTTCTAGTCCTTCAATCCTCTGTCCCCATATCCTTCAAGCTCCAAGGATATAGGGGGCGACCTCGGCTTTAATTTCATTTCGCTTCCCTTGCGTTTTCGGCTGTTGATTGCGCCGAAAAGCGGTCGACTTTTTGGATGGTACAGGGGGTGCAGGGAAGGGGGATGGCCTGTGTGGGGGCTGCCCTCGATCCGAGGTCACCAAACCCACCACCACCCCGTTGAGGCGTGCCCGGGCAAAAGTGGAGCGCTCAGGCCAGATCCAATTAGGCGCCGCGTTGTCAGCCTCGATGTAGCAACATGTCGTTGAACCCTCCCCCGCCGCCGCCCCTACGCACCCCAGGCCAGCCACGCCAGCCTCCTACCTTCTACATAATAAAAAAAATAAATAATATAAATAAATTAAAATTTATTTGTTAAATAATTATTGCCAATTTGCAGAATGTTAATTGTTTGGCATTTAAAAAGAAAAAAAGAACAAACAATAAGTGTTAATTTTAGACAAAAAGAGTGGAAAACAAACATAAAAAAGAGCTTTAATTATTAGTTTACATATTAATTTATTTTTAAAATTTTATTTAATTTTTTTAAGAGTATTTGTTTAAGTAAACAAATATTTCAAACATCAACATATAAGACTTATAATTATACGAAGGGTGTCTTGTGGAAAGAAAGCATAGGACCTTAAAAAAATTGTTAAAATTATGTTTTACTTAAAAAAAAAATAAGAAAATATATATTACCAAAAATCGTAAGCCCCTAAAGTAATAGCTTAAATTTAATATGACGTTTTTTAAACCTTTATTTAAACAATAAATTTAATTAAGAAGAATAATACTGTTGTTCTTAAATCTCACAGTTTCTACACTTGTTTTAGATTAAGTACAATTTTTAAAAGAAAAATACGCAAAAAAATTACAAAAAATATCAAAAAATAATATAAGTATATCCCCAAACATGTTCTCTCAGTGCATAACCCGAGTAAGGGCCAGTGGGTGGTGTAGGAGACTTTTGCGAGTTCGGAGCCAACTACCGTGCGTTTTTTTGCTCTGACTTTTAATCTCATTTGGCGGATGAGTGTATGTATGTGTATGTGTGTCTGTTTCAGGGCATTTGTATGAGTGTGAGTGTGAGTATCTGTGTGGGTGACCCTGTGCGTGGGTGTCCGTGTTTGTGTGTGTGTATGTCTGTCTTTCATTTCCTCGATCCCCCAACCATGCCATGCCGTGTTCCTCTCATAAGTCTTGACATGCCGTGTCAGTTGAGCGCCTCCTCAAGTCCGGGCAATTGCGATTCCGATTGAGTTCATGTCCGCCCAGAAAAAGTGGATGCCACGAGGGGCTAGAGGAGTGTCCATTCACTCTCGTCTCTCTCTTATAACCTCCCCCCTCCACCCAACCCCAACCCTTTGACACATGCAAATGTTTGTAATCGAGTTCAAGCTGTTGACGGAGTAGCACTACGACATCCCAGGTGTCCGTTATTTGTCCGGGTGTCCGCATGTCCGCATGTCCGGATGTCCAGTTGTCCGCTTGTCCATTACCCATTGTCGCTTGTTGTTTCTCCACGGCTCGTTGTCCGCCATTGTAACAAGTGTTTGTGCAATATTATTAACCTTAATTAGCCATTAATAGGTCCTGCGGCTAACGGGTCAAGTCATGGCATCCACGACCGGCCAACGGGTTGTTGCCCCATTGAGGCCTATTGAGGCCTATTGAGGCCTATGGGGGCTTATTAATTCAACTCGTCAACTCTTTAAACAGCAATAAAAAGCAATGGACCCACAACCCTTCACATGTTAACTATTTTTGAGGCAAAGTTCTACATGCAAGACCCATTTTGGATGGTATGGATGGATGGCTGCCTGGCTCTCAGGGTTAACAAAACTTTCAATGGCTCCTTCATTAAGGACATTAATCTTGAGGATCAGTCAACCAGTCTCAGAACTACCAAGCTTCCTTTTTTTTTTAATTAAAGTAATATTTTTGAGTTAAACTTTTTTAAGCCCCAAATAAAGGGTATTTTTAAGTTGAATTCCCTTGAACTTTTTATCGAGTTTCTTGTTACGTGGCAGTCTCATACATATTTTTACTTTTTGTTGTTGTTGTTGTTGTTGCCTCACAGCTCGTGTGGCACTTCACACATTTCAAGAGGGGCCGATATGAGGAGGGGGGTTGCAAGGTAAAAACTTCTACGTTTAATGGATCTGAGGGAAAAACCCTGAAAACTTCTTTTTCTTCTTCTATTGGGATGTTGAATGGGTTTTTTTTTTTGTTTTTCTCAATCCTATACTGAAGGGAAAATGAAAACTTTTGGGGCGTGGCGTGGTGGGTGGAGGCGGATCGGGGTAGACGGGGTGTGGCTAGAGCTTTAATTGCCCGCAAGCAAATCGATAAACAATAAACCAAAGTGCACTCAAATTGCAGAAACCACGTGAAAAGTGCCTGCAACAAGCAACCTGCAACCTGCAACCTGCAACAACAACAACAAATAGCCAACAATAAGAAGAAACAACAAATAACAACTAAAACTTAAATGAGGAGTGAACACAACGAAAATTTTTGGCCGCAAATTTGCAAAAGCCAGTGGCTGTCAAACTGTAATACGATGGATTTCAATTGCAAAGCCAAGAACATAAACCGCAAATCGAATTTAAGCCAAAAGTTTCAAGCCAAAACCATAGACAATTATAGACAGTACAGAACAAAAATATAACACCTTTAAAATAAAATAAAAATAAAATTAATTAAACTATACATAATACTTTAAAATATATTTAAAAATCTAAATAGTTTCTCTAGCTTTTATTTAAGACTTTATTATTTATTACATCTAGGTATTACCTTAACTATAATTTTATTTTTTTCTAAATACTTCCCTTATGATGTCATTAATTTTTTCTCTGAAATTCAGGGCCAGACAAAATGCAACATTTTTGCCATTTGTTTGTTATTTTCGTTTTGAGTTTCAGTTTCAGTTTCAGCTTTCGTTGACTGACTTTACTTGGCCCTGGCCTTTAACCAGACACAATAAAAACAGCAGAAATAAAAAAAAATATATATATACAAAAATAAAACATTAACAATGGAGCAGCCGACGCTTGGGCGAATTCGTTTGTAAATTTTTGCAATTAAAATTTAATTGCCAGTGAATTGTAATGTATCGTGACCGAATGGGCCACCAAAAAAGAGAATCTATATTTCATTAAAATATAAAAACAACTTTTTTTTCTTCATTTTTCGGATAGATACACTAATTGGCTATTAAATCATTTGCATTTGCAGTTTATTGCAACAAGAAAAATATATACTATATTTGTATTCAAAAATTTCCTTTTCTTTATTATTTTTTCAAGCGAATAAAAACGGGTTTTGGCCGAGCAGAAGATACAGATAGAGATACAAAGAGATACTGAGATACAGGTGTATGGCAGGCAGTACAGGTATCACACTCTATCGATGTGTTTGTGTAAATTGTTTTGTCTCTCGTCTTTTATCTGCGAATCATGTGCACGGGTTATGTAACCGCACAATCGAGTATCGCATTACAATTCAATTCCCTCCTCCCCGTCTAGCCACCTATCCAAGGCAAAGATATTTGGTTTTATGCTAGGCCTGGGAAAAATAATAATTTTATCTTCAACAACATGAAAGTAGCGTCATTTCCAATAAATCAGTTATATGGTAGCTAGTATAGGATATAGTCCCTCATAGGGCCAACAGCGATATATATATCTTCTACAATTCTGATCCGATTCTCAAGCGGAGTACCTTAAACGATTTCTGGATCGATTCTGCGTCATTCTGCATCAAAATCTTGAGACAAAATATTTTTTAGATTTTTTGTCCATTTTTCCTGATGGGACCCCTTGGAAATGGGGTTTTCCCCTATAGGGCCCACGCCAATGTCTATATCTTCCACAATTCTGATCCGATTCTCAAGCGGAGTACCTTAAACGATTTCTGGACCACTTCTGCGTCATTCTGCATCAAAATCCTGAGACAAAATATTTTTTAGATTTTTTGTCCATTTTTCCTGAAATTCCCCCTTGGAAATGGGGTTTTCCCC